CCACTGGTTGGAGAACAATCTATTCTATGCAGGAGTGATGAAATATCTTAATTCACAATCAAAATTCAGGCTGTAATAGCGATAATACATAACTAGGTTGCAATTGAACGTTAAGATGGAATAAAAATTTTAAAAACTATTAAAAAGCTGTCTATTCAGTAATGTTGATTAAATATTCCAATGGGCAGTCGAAATCTAGAATCTTCTACAGCAGATTCTAACGGACAACGCAGTAGTATTGTAGGATCCCGCACTCACGCCACTTTATTTCCCACATGTATCGTTATACGATTTACACTATGTAACATCACTTTTTTTCACATGTAGTATATTACCACCGAAGAACCGTTCACAGTTAGTAATCTTGAACTTCGTAAAGTAATTAAAACTTCAATCAGCGATATCACTACTTCACGAAACGTTTTGAGATTTAATGTTTCACTTTGTCGAGTGAGAATATTGCACCATATTACCGTTATGCTCGCTTACCGCCAACTGGAAGTAGGCTGTAGCCGGATATGCTAGGTATTTTTGTAGCGGGAAAATGTTGCATCTTTGAAATAGCTATGTGATAAAGTATGGATGTAAAATATCAAACGATGTCTCATATATTTAATAACGTCAATGAAGCAAATATAAATATTTTTCTGTTGTGAGAAATTAGAAATGTCTATAATTAATTCATGAACTGAAGTTATTAATTATTCCATTGTACTAATGGAAGGGTACACCATTAGTATCTTCGACAATAGTTCAAACACTCTATGTAATAATCACCAATAATGATTTAAATAACAACGAATTCATATGCAGAATTATATTAGAAACCTCGCTAAGGCTGTTTACGATGCAATTTTAGAAGTTGATGAATTAATTATAGACGAACATGAAGTCACAGATGAAGATGAGAGATTTTGTTTTTGGTAAAAAGAAAATGAAACTGCAATGATTATATGCTTAGGTACTTTTTATTCACTTTGAAAATTTAACATACACACGTTAATCGTTAGAGACATAATAAACAATGACATATAGACATTAGAAGTTTTACATTAGAATAGATTTTCGTATCACGGATCGTGTGCGAGAAAAAGATGCTTTGTAATACATATTACGTGATAATTATAATTATAATGACCATATATATGTAACAATATTTAAAGACATATAGACGCTACTGCAAATGATTCTATACAAATACATGAGTTATCCTAATAATTCTAGATATTGATTTATCTATCTTTATCTCATCTATCTCTCTTATTGTGCATGTCCTCTGCTTTCTCTCGTGCTAAACCTCATAAGGAGTTCTTTATTCCCTATTCACTTTCCGTTATATCTTTGTCATCTTCAACATCATCTATTTTTGTAATTTTCTTCTGACTTCGGTTCCTTTTTTGCATCTCTTAATGTATTTCTTATCCTTTCCTTTATTGCTCTCAAAATATAAATATAAGAGACAGTCAATAAAAATTCCTACTTTCTATAACATAGTTATAATATAAACAATAAACTAACTCTTGCTCTTTCTTTACAACTTCTAATTCTTCTTGAGTTTTTACTTGGTCGTCACATTCCCAATCACTACTGCGGCCTTTCTTTCTTTATTTATTTGCAAGTCCAGATGGTCCAACAGGTGGTTGTGAGCTTAATTTTGGATCAGTTAAATGATCATGAGCTGATTTGCCTTTATCAGTAAACTTTTTATTTAATATCACAGATTTTTCTTCATCTTCCTTTGCATCTCCACTAAATGATAAAAGATTGAATTCTCTGTAACAAAATTTTTCATTGCAAAGAACCATACTATCAGGACTAAATTCTGCAAACATATATGATTTTTACTTTACTGCTGCTGTTTTTGATTTTTTAACTGTCCTTTACTTCTTCACCTTCCTGTACTATTATTCTCGGTATAATATCAGAAAATGGATTGTTCAATATTAGTTTTTATCAATCTTGCAGGATAAAGTAGTCTATTATTCTACAAAAAAGAGGAAATATTATATTTATATCAATTCTTGATATATTTTCTTGTAAGCATTAAATTTATTATAGTAGGTAATATATATCAACAGAGAAGGATGTGTAGCATGGATATGCAAATATAAGAATCAATGAAGAGATGGAGAATGAACAATTGGTAATAGTTATGAAAGGTAAAGATAAATTGAATATATAGTTGAATGTTGCTAAATGATACACGTAGAAAATTGAATCTAAGCGCTTACATAGAGAAATGTTGTTGACCAGCACTAATGTGTTATATTTCAGAATGATGGAGCCGAAGTATATAAGAAAGAGAAAGTGGTTCGAATGAGAGCAGTGAGAAGAAGATACAAATATTATGTCGAATCAAGAAATAGGAAAGGGGCAGCATATATATCAACAGAGAAGAATGTGTAGCATGGATATGCAAATATAAGGATCAGTGAAGAGATGGAGAATGAACACTTGGTAATAGTTACAAAAGTTAAAGATAAATTGAATATAGAGTGTAATTGTTGCATTAAGGCACAAATGTGTAGATACATCTATAGGAACTTGGAAACTATAAAAGCAACAGGAATAATGGGGCTGTGGCACATAGAATATATTGGGCCAATAAAGACAACATTAAAAGGAGGAAGAAGGTACGTCTTACCTGCTGATGATTATTCGAGAAAAGAGCCATTTGGTTGACTGATTTATAAATGACTAAAGATTTAATATGAAATATTATTGACGAAGGAATTTTTTTATTATAGGAGACTTACAAACATGAATGATATTTATATGCAAGGGCCAGCCACTAAGGGTAAAGTAATAAGTATTAGTTAATAATATTTCAATAGATTGCTTATCTGTTTTTAAAAATTTAACCAATATACAATATTTACTTCCTAAATTTCTATATTAATAAATTAAATAATTTCTGATTTGAATTACAATAATAAATAATAAATTTTAATAAATTTGATTTTAAAAGTATTTTACATTAGTGAAACTAATGTATTTGTTATAACTAGGTTATAATGAAAACAACTGTTGGTGACATTGAGTTAGAATTATGGACAAAAGAAACTCCAAAAGTGTGTAGAAATTTCATACAATTGTGTATGGAAGGTTATTAGAATGACACTATATTTCAAAGAATTATCAAGTCATTCATAACACAACAAGGTAGTGGTTCCACAGGTACAGGTGAATATGGTAAAATTTAGGAAGAACCATTTAAAGTGAGGCTATATTTAAAAATAAAATGAATTCCTTTTTTATTCAAAAATAATTATTGGATATATCTGTTTTAGGACGAATTTCATACAAGTTTACATTTTTGTCGGCGAGATTTAATTTGCTATGGCTAATGCTGGAAAAGATGACAATGGGTTGCAATTCTTTACTCTTAGTTCTACATCAGATTTGCAGAATGAACATACAATCATTTGTAAAATCACTGTAGAAACTATATATAACATGCTTATACTCGAAGAAGCTCTTGTAGATGATGAAATAAATTATTAAGAAATTTGATTTACAATTGTTTATTTACAATGCTTTCATAGACGAAAAATGAATACAAAATAAAAAATAGATTGGAGACGATAAACCAACTAAAGACGGGAGAATTGAACCCCAGGACCTCATTCATCGGATTTGTCTGGTGTCACCGTCGGGCCACAACGCCATTTGAACAACCCGAAGGATTTGCACTGTCCTTGTCGTGTGCAATTTATTTAAAGGATCTTATTAAAAGATTTAGATTTAAATCCTTATTCATGCAGAATAAAAACTGTTTGAAATTATTCATGTTTACAATGAAATGAAGGATAATGATTTCTTATGAAAATTATTTTTTTTTTAATTCCAATATTATAATTTATAGCTGATAAAAAATTACTAATTTTTGTTTAAAATTTTTGTTTATCTTATGTCAATTAAAAACTACACAAAATTGTACAGGAACTATAAAATTAAACTGATTATAAATAAATAGACGCTGAATTATAGTAAAATTTATATAATAAAATTGTAAACTATAAAAAGTTTAGAAAATGATTTTCACATTTTAAAAGACAAGAAGTAGTTTAGTAACAATTTCCGAAATATTAAAAAAAAGTTTTTGGCATGATACGTTGAATTTTACTTATACAAATATAGTCCTAGAGATGGATATAATATGTGCTATAATATGTTTAAAAGTTCAAAATTCTTTGACTCATTGTTAGTCTTTCATATTATAATATACCGGATTATCCAAAAATATCGGGCTACCCAACAACGACCAGTGTAAGTAGACCAAAGTGTGTATAGCAAAGTCGAATCTGCCAACCGATCAAAGTGATCGATAGTACGCTCTTAGATATGAAATACGATTATTTGTTTTCAATCAGAAATTGTAGTTTTTAAATTTTCAAATAACTATATAAGAATATATTTTTCTTCTTTCAATCACTCTTTACATCATGTAATTCGTTTTTTTCTTCTTGTAAAACACTCGTAGTAGCCGATAATAAGCTTGCCATAGCTAAAACGTCGTTTATCAAAGTCAGCGTTATTCACAAAACTAAAGAAAGTCGGAGCGTACGGATTGCTCAATGAAGATCTGGTTAGTCTATCTGTTTAGATGTATTGTACATACCTGTCAGATCAATAGGAATACGTGCATCCGACTTAAAATTAAACGTGCAGTTATCACAACTATTATCCTATATACAGTGGGCCCTCGACTTTCGCACATAATTGGTTCCTGAAAGTGTGTGCGAATGTTGAATGTTCGAAAGTAGAGGGATGTAAAAAAATATGCACCAAAAACTGTGTTTAAAAGTATTTATCAATATGTATACATAATGAAGTTAAAGAGGCGTATTAAGTGCTTTCGGGTGTTTCCTTTATAAACTTGTCAAGAATTAGCGCCGGCCCTGGTCTGATGGCTAATTTGATGTCCCCTGAGAGGGGACATCCGACCGCAGAGGATTAAAAAGTTGAATTTTTAAAAATGTACGAAAGTCGAGGGCCGCCTGTATTTGTATTTTGCACATGCGCATATATCAATTGTGTGAAACGTCAATAAAACGTTATAGTTATATAAGTAGTAAGAGGTTATATTTGTAGAAAAATTATACAAGAACTTAATAATAAAAAATATGAAAACAATGAAATCAAGTATTCTTCGACTGAGTACTATGGCTACTATAGCAGCTAGTGCTTGGTATGTGGGGAAATATTCTGAACAGAAGCAACATTTGAATGTAGAAAAAAGAGACAGTGGAACTATAATTTTCTCAAATGTAAACATCAAAGAAATGCCTGGTTTACCTTTATTTGGAACTGTTTCTGCAGCAGTTCCTGTAGAATCTACGAAAGATATGGGTTCATCTTTATCATCAAGAGTGTCTGAAGTAAATTATTTAAGTGGCATAACCTTAACAATTAATAATAAATAGTACCTAAAATTTATATTCAGTCTCATATTTATCACTTAAGATTATAAAAGATTATGAAAATATTTTTCAATATTCAATTAATCATTATTCTTTATTCAAAGATTTCTATAACAAATATAATTTAGAAGTATGAGTTGAAAGTTAAATCATTTTTATTTCATTTTTATAGATTATGAAATATGGTTTTCCTGGGTTAGATCATGTTAGATCATATGAAGACTTTGTTCTTTCTTATGATAGAAGAAATAGGGTAGCTCATTGGGTTTTTGAACATTTAACTCAAGATAAATTACAATCGAGTGAAAAAGTATCACGTAGTAAGTGTGAATTCAAATCTGATACAAGTATACATCCCTTTTTTAGGTAAATATTTATAATTTATAACTATGTAGTATTTTCAAATTAATATTTTAGTAATTTAAATAAAACACAGATCAGAAAATAGTGATTACAAAAACAGTGGATACGATCGCGGACATTTAGCAGCAGCTGGAAATCACAAATGTAATCAAAAACATATAGAACAAACATTTTTTCTAACAAATATGGCACCACAAGTAGGTACAGGTTTCAATAGAGATTCTTGGAACAGATTGGAAATATATGTTAGACATCTAACTAAAGTTTATAAGGATGTGTATGTTTGCACTGGTCCTTTGTATTTACCAAAGTAATTTGCAGTTTTAATATAATTTATTTGTTATGTACCTAAGCAGTTAAATACTCAATTACTCGCAATTATGTAACTCTTACTAACATTGCTCTAAATATGTCATAATTACAGAATAGAAACTAATGGAAAGAAATATGTTCGATATGAAGTTATTGGTGCAAATCATGTAGCAGTACCTACTCACTTTTATAAAATAGTTGTTGGTGAAACACATGACTCAAAATTAGAAATGGAAGCATTTGTAATGCCAAATACTCCCATAGATGACAATGCACCTCTAACAAACTTTCAGGTAAATTAATATAGGTAATATTTATACTTTCTTATATATTTCAAAACAATTAATGTAGGTGAATATATTGCAATAGGTACCACCAGAAAGTGTAGAACGTGCTGCAGGACTTTTATTTTTTGATAAAATTTCACGTGATAAATTAAATAAAATAAATGGAAAGAAAGTATAGTAATTACAACATAAAGCTAAAATGAAAAATTGAAGTAGGTAGGATAATTTTAATATAATTTCTTACAGATAAGGGAAATTATTTACATCTGACTAATTTTTTGAATTGAAATATTTTTTGTTATAATGCAAATATTATACTCATTTTAGAAGATGCATTTATATGTGATATTCGATCATGGCCATTATTTTAAATATCTTCTACATCGTATACTTTACAAACAAATTTTATGTACAAAAGTTTTTCAATTTTTACAGAAAGATTTATATATGTTTTCCAGTAATGATAAAATTTAAAAAATCTGGAAATCTAAATCTATTCTTATTGTTTAAAAACATGTACAAAAATTGTTGATGTTTTCAATATGGAGTCATATATATGATGAATGATTTGTTAAAATGATATCACTTATGTTAATAAGCAAGTATCTTGTTATCTATTGAAGTATTTATCACTTAAATTCTGACAAGAAATACAATATTTCAATTAAACATAAAATTTATATTCAAATTTTTAGAATTGCCACCATGTATGGAGAAAGTATATACTGTGTAGTATATTACATAAATTTCATAATTAGAAAAAATATAATAACATTGTTAATAACATTATTAATACTGTATAATCTCATTTAAATTCATTCTAATTTTAAAAGCAATACAATACAATTGTCTAAAATATACTTTGTTGGTCTAAAGAATTCAAATTGATATAAAACAAAATGTCAAAATAATATTTTTATGAAATTTCAAGGTTATCAATAAATTATTTTAAGTCAAATTTTATTTTTTTTTTTAGATTGTTATAAAGAATGGAAAAAAATTAATTTAATGATTAAAAAGTTGCATGTTCATCTTATTTATATATTCTATATTATAGTGTGGCGTGATCTCAATAATATCTTTTTTTGCATGTTATTTTATTTCTTATTTCTATTAATCATTCTTGGCTTTGCTCTTCAATGTGAAGAATATGCCTCATATTTATTTAATGTCATCTTTTAAAGCCATTAGACAAACTGCAAAATGTTTCATTTAAATGTTTTGCTCTGTTTACTTTTGTACTTAAATTTGGTCTATATAGAATACATAAGCCCCATTTTTCCACATTGCTAGCTTATTGATTGTGTACACTGTAACTCTAATTTGAATTTTTTTCTCATTGTCTTTGATCTATTGTATATGTGACTATTATTTTTTATATGTTTTTTGTTTTTATTGCTTAAATATAATCTATATCTACTTCTACTTCTAGTTCATTTTTTAAAAAGTTCCTCGTTTCTTTTAATCTTATCTTTCACTTTTTTCAGTTTTTATATTATAATAGAGATCTCTAGCATAAGCAATTTCGAAAACCATTAAAAAATGAAAAGAATAAAAAATGTCATGAATGAGTACAATACAGTTATTGTTGCAACTGCAGGTTTTTTTGAATTTAAATATGAATATGTAACTAGAACAATGAAGTTAGATATTAGTTAGATGCATTTGTATTTTGTAAATACCATTTTACATGTAAGAAAGACCCATCAATGTTGTGTACATTTGTAAAAACAAACTTAATGAAAAGTCAATACTGTACAATAAAATAAACAATAAACAATAAATTCTTTTTTTTTTCTTTTTGACAAATTTTATTTACATATGCAGCTGTACTTACAAATCATGGCCAAATAATTTATCACAACATGTACTATTATTCTATTAAAAATTAGAAATGATTTGAGGGAATAGGCAAGTAAAAAATGTGGTGTGGTATTATATCATTTAAAATTACATATTATTTACAAAATATAAAATGTACAAGTATACAATACTTTTAAAAAAATTTGCAATAACTTTTAGAGATATTCCATAAAACACAAAATGTTAAATAATGCATGTCATTTCAATATAAATGCTGTGTAATATACAGAAGTAGTATGAGATATTCTTTAGTAGATATTGAATATTTCTGCATATTTTTATTTATTTATTTGGTTTATGATAATATTTAATTACAGAAACACTACATACCAAAAATAATAAATTTGAACAAAATATATATTTTTATTTCATCGAAGCTTAGGTTATTACTTCATATCTATTAATGTATATTACATAAGAACATGTAAAAAAGTATAGCAATATAAAATGAAAAAATATCAAAATGTACATAGATAAATGTTCGTTTATATTATTGTACAATTAAACTATAACTTTGTTATATTATTCTTTATACAATATACTATTTTGTAAAATATTCTGACATAACTAATGTTTTCATGGGAAATCGTGATACGTCACATATAATGTTATCGGAGAAACAAACAGATGACAGTTTATCGCGATAACTGCGAACGGGTAAGAAAAGAAAAATAAGTTTTCAATGCAGTACAATCACAAGTTTGTGGAATATTAAAAGATTTTAGATTTTAATAAGATAATACATTTATCTCTATTGCTTGTGTAATTGAGAAACATAAAATAAGAAAATTATATTAGCCATATGAATACAATTCAAACTGACTTACATGAATATAATATCAAGCCTATGAGTATTTCTTACAAAATAATAAAAATAACGTACAATTTTCTTCGATAAATGAACTAAATGTTGAACATATCAAATCGAATTTTTTACTTATTTTTAATTAAGAGTGTCCGATAAATGTACACAATATTGAAATAAAAATAATGAAATAATGAACATTACTTGACCTTTTTTTGATACTAATTGACTTTACATCTGCATTAGAGATACTTGTTTTAATAGAATCGAAACATTCACTAAATTGCTATTCTGTTTCTTATGTTTTATACAGTTGATGTTTTTCTTGAAGCAAAAATTTAATAAATTTCATAAAAAAAATTAATTAATTTAATAAAAAAAAAGTCTAATTCCCAATTTGAATTTGAAATCCCTTTTACAACAATACGTACTTTGGTCATAATGGAAGAACTAAATATAGATATGTAAATACGACAAATAGAATAGTGATGTGACAGGTAATTTCGTTCACCAAATTATTAATGAATTATTAAAAATTATTAATAAAAAGGGCACTGTAACACTACAAATATAAAGCACTCTAAAAACTATAATAATACTACAATAAATTCAATACGATACTGCTGCAAAGTTTACACGGTATCAGCAACAAATGTATTCGAAATGAAAAATGACGGGTGTCGGGAGATAACTGTTTGGTCGCGACGTTATAAAGTGGTGGTGCAGTGGAGAATTGCGTATCACTAGCCAACAATTTTGTGTGGGAGTTAACAGTTAACAGTGATGGAGTTAAAGTGGGGGAAACTCCTTAAGAAGGAACTCCGAAGTTTAGCTTGTATAAATTTGAATGACTGAATTATTTTTATAACTTTATTTTTCCAACTATTAAAAATGCGTAATTCTTCTTTATATAATAAAAATTATTCGATTTCATCTAGGAACCTTAGTAAAATAGTAGAATTTTAGTAGACATTTATAATTTTTTAAATTATTGATTAATTGTGATTTTTTATTTAAAGAATCTTACGGTGTATTTTCTCCCTTTTATCTCATATCTCACTTTTCTTTCTGGTATCGTTGAACATAAAAACTCAGATCTTAATCTTATCTTTAAAAGCTTGAGTAATAAATATATGTTCGATATATTTATTAGTATGTACACTACTATCATGTATATATAATTTCAAAGAACTATGGTTAAAAAACATACTTTAATATCAAAGTGTGCCATTTGAAAGTTATGAAATGTTTGTACCTTTAATTCTTCAATTCTTTTTTCGTGCTACCACAACTTGTAAATAACTGAAATTGTTTGGAATAGCTTATATTAGAGTCGAACGGTATAACAATTTCTAAAGATATCTTCTACTTACGTTTAATGGAAAAGAAAGATAAATATCACGTTGAAATATTTAAATTTTTATTATTTTTGTACATTTAGTTCAAATTGTAATAATTATTTATGCACAATATTGCATGTTGTCACAAAATAAGTACTCACGTGAAAAGCGCATGCACACGTATCTCTTAGTACCCAAAATTTCAGTCTTGCAGGAAACATTAATGATATTCACTCTATAATACACGTTGAACAAAATTATTCTTCGTAATTTACAATAATGTAATACGATTATTCATATGTTTTCGAGTATAAACTATTCACATAATTGTGTTTTTGATTGATACCACATTATATAATGTAGTTAATAGCTGCTATAATAGCGGATACATCAGTCACATATTTGATACACTGTGATACATGCCTGGAATAAGCATGCTTAATATTCTGCAATTATGTCAAAATGTATTTTCTGATTAAAAATTTTGTTTTTACGACATCAAATTCAATACGATAAATAGATACTCGTGCTAAGTTCGATTCTATGAGACGAAAGAATAATACAACTTGGTCAATATATTTGAAAAAGGTAATACTTAATAGTATTTCAACTCTCATTCCTGTAAAGAATAATTATCCTTGGCTATTGAAAAACGATGCCACGTTTCTTTTTTATTTACGTCTATATCATTTATATTTTAATAGACAAGAAGATTCTTCGCTATTACTTTGGTCGTGATATTAAGTAATTACATACAAAATAATATTCATCGTTAAATACTATATTCATTATATAAAATGCTAATGGTAGAATCGTTATTAATTTTTCTCAACTTACAATCTAATCTATGTACAGAATGAACCACCGCGTTGGTACTGAAAAGCGTGCACATTACACGCAAGATAATTAACGCGTAGCGTGATAACTACCCTTTTTACGACAATGCAATCTAAGCCTTACTCATGACTAAAATGGACAGACTCCATTTTTACGTAATCGCTTTCCGTTTTAAGAACGAGATTGGAAAATAGAGACACTATACAGGTTAGAAATGAAAGTATTGTACAAGTTGACAGGAGGTGTTTCCTTATGCAAAAATAAGTGAAAATTCTCGTGGCTTAGTTTTCGACAAAATCGATTTTAAAATTCATTACGTATATATGCTCTCACATATGCAGTTCGTCCAGCGAGACTATATTGTTATTGATATGGAGATACTGAAAATAAAAATCAATTAGTATAAAATGTTAATTATGAATTTAAAAATACAATATTGAGGACATCAGTTTCAAAGATTTTTTAATTGATGGAATATTGTTAATAAAGTCATTTTCCAACCTTTAAAAATTTAATAATTCATATAACTTATGCAAATATTGCATATGAAAATAATATGCATCATAGAATGAGTTATATATTTAAGTTATGTAAATATATATGTACATATACACGATGGATTCTTAAAATAGATTTTTTTTTTTTTAAATAAGCATGGACAGAAAAATGTATTATCTTTTTCTTACTTTTGCGTAAAAAATCACCTGCTAATTTGTACAATATTTTCGATCATGTCCTGTACATCCTTTTGATATATCTTTTTTAATCTCCTTTTTCTATAATGATAATATGTGCAAAGAGGCTAAACACTGTGTAATAGGTCCCACCTGTGCACAGCATTACTTTACAATATTTTTACAAAGTTCCGAGATTTTCGCAATAATTCGTAATATCGCTACGCTGTATTAATATTTAACAATATCTGCTTCGTGATTGCTTGAAATAGCGAGTAAAACAATAGTAATGAATATCATTATGCTTTAGAGATCTCGATGTAACATTTGTGTTTAACACATTTTTGAAATGTACATTTTCGATGCTTTAAATTTACTGCTTATAAATAAAAGCTTTAAGTAGGGTCAATTAGGCACTAAAATGGACGGGTTTCGTTTCTCAGGAGCTTCTTTCGAGTATTGCTTATAAGTTAAGGACACTTAATGAAGTTGTAAGTACACTTTGTATAACTATATGATTTGCTCAAATTAACAACATGACTAATGTATAAATTTTATAATACATTCCTCACTTCACTGCTGTTTACGATAAATCCTCTTAATGATTAAATTTTTTTAAACAATTTTAATACATGTTCCATTTTGGTTTCTATCTTATAATCAACTTTTAATTTTATAGGCAGTTTTGATACGTTTCATCTTTAGCGTCGCTTTCAGATTTTTAAAATCATTTGCCATGTCTCAAATTGCTCACTTAACTCCTTATGTCACTTTGATAACTAAGTGATAAGGTAGCATGGACTAGAAAACGCGCGATGAAACCTCATATATTTTCATTAATCGTTTCAAGTCAGTTTTGTCGAGAGGACGACTCCTCAGATTTTTCGTTTTAATATCGACAAGCACTGCGACAACGATGCATATTCTCGACAGACTAGGATTTTTCGAAGCATGGAGCATCCACATCGTGCTCCATCATTACGAAAAAAATTCTTAGATTAATCTCTCTTCCGGTGGTGGCTTCATCACATTATCCATTTCTACGCGTGGATTACTGAACTCTTGAGCACTTGGACTGTACGTTCCTCGAGTAGCTCGTTTCTTTCTAGCCATCATGAATAATGCTACTAAAGAACCTGCTGCTATAATAAACAAACATCCAACAATAGGACCAACGATTACTGCTATATCGAGTGCCTGACTACCCAAAAAGTTTTCCGTCTACAATAGAAAATAAAATGTATTAAATCCAATTATTTACAAAGTATATTTTATTCAACAATATTAAAACATACCTCTGTACAATTTTGTCCAGTGTATTCCGGCGTACACTGGCACCTATAACCGCCGTCATCTCCACATTTACATGTACCTCCATTTTGACAGTAATCCTGTTAAAAGAAATGTGACTAAGCAACTAGTTATCAATATATCAAATGAAAAAATTTGTCTAAGAGAAAATACCGCTCTGCAGGGATCCATCATTCTACAGTTATATCCACAATAACCAGATTTACAAATGCATTGATAAGTTCCTGGTAAATTTTCGCATCGTCCATGACCACAATCTGTTGTTGAATCTTGACATTCGTCTATATCAAATGAACAATCAGACCCTGAGTAGCCAGTATCACTACAATCACAGGTGAAACTATTTACACCATCGTAACATTTCCCATCATTTTTGCATGGTACATTTCCTTCTGCATCTGGTGCGCAGTCATCGATATTAATTTCGCAGTAAAGTCCAGAATACCCAAGTAAACAGGTACACCGTGGTGTCTAGTAAGATACAATAATAAATTATTAAAAATTAGAAATAGTTATGTATTCAGTTATATAGAATGAAACAATAATTACTGACAAATTTAATATTTTTCAATCAATGGAAGTAGAATGAAGACTTGTAAAAAATAAATTACATGATATAAAAGTGATCGTCATGCGATAGGTGGAGTTAGTGCTTTACAGATTTAAAACTCATTTCTCTTTCGATTTGGATAGTAAGCTTTCTTGCTGGTTTTATTTCAATCAATAAATGACTTTTAATATAAATACAAGAATCTATGATATGAAATCACTCTTATACCACTTTTATATATTTCAAGTCTGTGTCTCTTTCTGATTGTGATGATATTGTTTCAAGTTAAAAAATGTAATATTTCATGTCTCTCTCATTTTAAACTCTATGATGCTACTATAGCAATAAAGTTTAGTTGCATAATATTTGAGTAAATAAATATGCTTTCAATAGTACACAAATCAAATTAGATATACCTGATCCAAATAATCACATCTACCGCCATTTTGACACTTTCGTCCTATGCAGTAAGGAGTATCACATATAGAACCTTCATAGCCAGTCATACAAGTACAAGTAAAATTATCACCAGTTTGTGGATTTATAACATCAGTGCAACTGCCACCATTTTTGCAAGGTTGGTTTTCACATGTAATTAAACGGAAATTTTCACATCGATCTCCAGTAAATTGATCTGGACATTCACAACGGAAATATCCAGGATAATTTACACATACGCCATCATGTTGACAGGGGCTAAGTGTTACACACTCGTTTATATCGCTATCACATCTAAAATAGAAATAAGATTGATTAGTACGAGAGAAAGTATAAATTTCATCATAATAGTCTATTATTTCAATTACTTGGGTCTATATTATTTGTTATTTAAATTTATAGATAACTAAATTTAAAGAAGTACTGAAATTCTATTAACACATTGAGCGCGGTGTCAATCCGTGGGGACTGATAGTGAACTTTCCGTTTAGACGGCGTTAGTCTATGGGAATCGACAATGTACTTTTCGTTTGGGTCACGTCGGTCCGTGGAATCGACAGTATCAAGATTAGAAAATAAATGTTGTAAATATTAGAATGTATTTAAAAAGAGTTCAAAAATTAACTTCTGTACCATTATATTTGTCTTTCTTAATGAACACCGGATGCATCATTCTCATAGCTCAAACGGATAGATCGCCGCTGTATGTCACGCTCAACGTGTTAATAATGTTTTCAGTTTAAAAGACCCTCAATACTCTAATAATAATCTTAATAACTTCTAACAAAAATTTATTAACACGTTCTCTATATATTATATAATCTTAGGATATTTGAGTCGGTATTTTGCAGGATACATTACTCTCACGTAAGCACGTTCGAAATTTTATTCTAGTGCGTAGAGTTTACGTTCCATGTGATTCAAGGTATAGATATCGATAAGTCATATTATATAATGAGTACTTATGGTCCTCTATTGATACAGTATGCTGAATTTAATTGTATTAGGTCAGTGCCCCACAATAGCACTATGTTTATAAACAATAATTAAATTTTTATACCACGAACAGCTTTATTCTAATGGTGGATTTTCCTTATAGGTTCCAAATCCATTAATTCACTGCATCTAGCGAATTTTCGATATATGGCGAACGTGTTAATATCTATATGTTAATACAATGGAGTTATATACTAACAACCATCCTTGCCAACCGTTGTTACAGACACACGTGTAATTAGCAATTCCATCTATACATGTTGCTCCATATTTGCACTTATTATTAATGCATTCATCAATATTAAAAGAACAATCATCTTCTGTATATCCTGCAGGACATTCACAAATGTAACTGTTTGCTTTATCAAAGCAGTAGCCGTCATTTTTGCAATCTGAATCAAAGCAAAGTTGACAGCCAATGCTATCGTGATGCGTTGAATTATTTTCTTGTAACGCTAAGTATTCTAAAGGTGTGAAATTAGCATTTTGATATACTTCTTCATACGTGAAGTAATGTAAAAGCATACTGCCAATTCTTACTTCACCCAAACATCCTTTGAACGCTTCTCCTACAAAACAAAACACGTATTCTAATTATACAAGATGAATATTATGTTTTTAATTAAAAATTATAATGTATAAATTAACTTTTTCAAATATAATTTATATATTGGTAAATACAAAGTAAACGAATTTAATTACTGCATTACCTGACATTACGTTATAAGGTGGAGAAGCGGTGGTCAGTGTACGTTCAGTAAAATCTATCGAATTTTCATTAATACCACTTCTATTTTCTAAGCTCTGTTTACTGGAGCCGATTGTTACGTAACTATGTTTATTAGATAAAATAGAACCAAGCCCACCAAGAGTAACTGTCCCAGTAATCAACAAATCGTACCACAAAGGAAAACTAAAATTTGGACTAACATGCGATGCATATTCATCGTTGGAATTTGCATATCCACATTCCATGGAATTATTGTTCAATCTCAGTACTATAGATGTCCAATTTCCATCGGGTTCAGCTTTACCAAAAATCAGTATTCCTTGATTTTGTAAATCTAGGCGCCAAGATACTGTAATCTTGTCTTTGTAAACGGAAACGGTAAAATGTTGGTCGCCTATACGAGGTGCAACATGCATTAATGTGCCACCAGTATTCGATCGATACGTAATTTGGATAGTTTCAATTGATGAATCTGTCACATTTTTTTCTTCTACTTGATTATAAATGTAGGTAAAGGAGGTCGTTGCTCCATTAAAAGTAGCATTAGCAATGCATTCATAACCATCATCTAGATTTTGACATTTTGATCCGGCAGGACAGTCTTGCAACTGACAAAATTCCATTTCTTGGCAAGTTTTGCCGGTATATCCGCGTGGACATTGACACCAAAAGTCGTTCCATGTAATATGACAAGTCCCATTGTGATTACATGGACTACTCACACATACGTTATCAGATATCACACCCTTGAGAATTTTGTCATAATCAAAGGTTACATTTCCAAATTGTATTGGGGTAGGAATATCGTTTGCCTGTAAAAAAAAAACGTTATCAATATTTTTATTAAATATTTTCAAGTAACTCAGATAATCTTGATTTTTCAAATAATTTAATTTAGTTTAACAATAAGTAATTAACATTAACATTTCATTAATATTATAATAGAACTCGGTAAAAATATATGTTCTGACATATGAAAGAAAAAAATAAAATAAAAAAAAATAAAAAAATAAAATTTAAAAAAGATAAAAAAAAAATTTACATTGGAAATTACACTTACCTTTAAAGGAAAGAATTCTACGACCATAGTTTCAATACCATTAGATATTTGAACATCTTGAATAATTCCTTTGAAGTTAATCTGCGGAGCTTGCGATACCTCAATTTGACGATTATCGACTTGTCGTATGTATCTAGATGCTTGCGGTAAACCTCCCAAGTATAAAACAGTTACATTCAATTGACCAGAAGCACTAATAGTTTTTCGGAAATACTCGGTACCATTAATTTTAACTTGTACCAATGTTACATTTCTAATTACTTGTATTAAATGGTTGTTTCCATCATTAAGTTTTACACCACCAACCGTGTAAGCTTCTGTACCATTAAACTGAATTCTAACAAGTAATTCACCTCCTTCTAGTTGGGCTGCTATGTAAGTTTTCTCTTGCGGTTTAAGATCTGATTGCGGGTTTGGTTCTGTTCCTAAATAAAATATATCACCCCTATCTTGTCTTGTCCGAATGAACATAGAAATATCGACAATCGATCTGACAGCCCGTCTAGCCATATCGAATACTTTTACGGTTACATATCCGTTTGTAATATTTTCATATCCGAATGTAGCTGCTGTCATGTTATATTGACAAGTATGTCCAAGATATGGTCTCTCGCATTTACACGAAAAATCACGCCATCTATCTGTACAGTGACCGCCATTTTTACAGCGATTTGGTGAACATTGAGCTTCGCGTGGACATCCAGGTTCAACGTCTTCCATGTACACGGTTTTTGATGAGGTTCCAGAGTATACCTGAAATATATTTTATTTAATATCATAAATCAAAAATAAAAATATATTTTATAGAAAATATATCGTATCCGTTTTAAGCATCTAGATGTCTGTGACATGGTTATTATAATATCAGAAATGCAAAAACATATTTGAGACTAAAGTTGTAAGGTATCAAAGGCGATTGTTTCACCTTAAGTTGATTTTACAGAGACTGATGAATATCGCATTCAAATTTCTAAATAGAGTCCTATAGCTTTTATTACACATTGTTGTAGTTAATATTAACAAATTTTCAAAACATTACTTACACGCATATTTTATATAAACCGTTACCGATAGAGTAACTAACGAATAGAGATATAAACGACCGAGCGTGAACATTTAAACGGAGAAGTAAATAAGCAAGAGTGAAAAATTGTATATCACTTGTATTTTTCATTTATACGTCGGAGTTCAACTCGAGAGGAAATGGCGGTGAACATTTAAGCGGATATCATTTGCTCTTGTCAATGGCGAAGGCAAATACATATATATAACTAGGCCAATAATATGGTTTCCAATAATTTCTGCCCATCCATTAATAGCAAAGCATACTTAGTTAAATTTTTAAATCATTGCATGGGGATTTCTGCAGTCCAAAATCTTCGCATCTTTGGATTCCGAATATCTGTGTTTCCGCTTTCTTCAACACTTATGGTGTTCTTCAATACTGTAAGTTTGGAGTATCCAGACAGAAAGAACTTATAAAGTGCAGTTGCTTGCAGCCCCCCCCCCC